CATTTTGAGTGAATATTTGAAAACTCAAGTATAGACCAAACCTGACTGAGTGAATCCACCTATGTTTACACTTTGATTTTATTGTAAACTGGATCTATGTTTACTGTTTGACCCAAGTCTAACCCCGACCTATGTTTAATTTTTAACTCGTGTGCAAACAAGAGCTATGCCCACCTACTAATTCAGGGGGATTTCTGCCCTATAAATGTTACAATTGACATTAAATACCTCAACAAGAATTGATATTTTGGTAAATTAACCAACTTAACTAGTCACTTTTTCGGTGGGTGGGATACATTTATTTGTGCATTTCTCTCAATATATTTCTAGATTTTCTAAAATATCTTTCTAGAATTGCCTCTATATATTCTTAGATTTTTCCCTATATATATATCTAGATATTTCTCTATATATTCCTAGATATTTCCCTATATATTTCTAGAATTGTCTATACATACCTCTACATTTCCCTATAAGCATTTCTAGAATATATATATATATATATATATATATATATATATATTTCTGGCGGAGTGAATTGCGTCATTTTCTCTCACAAACGGTGCGTAACTGACCCTACTGTACTGTCCAATCGACAAATTCAAAAACAAATAACAGGCATGGGCGAAATTAAAAATATAAAAATGTATTTCTAAAATTATCTATATATATATTTCCACATTTCTCACTACATATTTTCCTATATGTTGATTTGCGTCTGACTAGGAGGCTGTAGTTTCTTTCTGCGGTAGAATGGTTGCCAACCAAGCCTTTATAGGACTCGGTCTGTCCTGCTATTTAACCCATAGCTTGGGTGAGTAGAGATGGATTCATACCTTTTCCAAGGGTAATTGCGCCTGGATTTTGGTTTAGTTTTGTTTATTTTGCTTTAAGGCACATCCATAAGTTATTTAATGCCGCTAAGATTTTGAGGATGGTTCGTATGAATAGAAAAATGTATTCTTTGTAAGAAATCTGTTTGTAGATTACGTTTCATTGACGTATTTCTGCAAAAATGTTTTTTGTCGAGAGTCGAATACATTGCTGGTAATAATTTTTTTTTTTTCAAAAATGTATTCCTGGCAATTTTTTTTTTTTTTTTTTTTTTTTACAAAAAATATTGCTGTTAATTTTTTTACTATGAAAATGCATTGCTGGTATTTTCACTATAATTTTTTTTTTTTTTTATATATACTTTCATAGTGTTTTGAGTCCCGTTTTGGGGTTAACTATTTTTCAATAGCTGGGACTCTAACTGGTGCGACCAGTCCAAGCCAGGGAGGACCTAACATTAACAATTAAGAGGTGGTTCCAAGCACCCTCAGAGGTCTTGTTGCCGGATGTAGTTTATCGTCATACCCAGGACAGAACACGACTGGAATTCGAACTCGGCTCTCTGGTTTATATTTCTAGATGTTTCTCTAGATATTTCTAGAAGTGCGTATATTGTTGTTGGTATTAGGGATATTTTCGCGTGGGATTGAAGTTGTACGAATATTTTAGTGCATTTAAATACCAATATTTGTCATTGAAGTGTTTGTTTTTTTAAACGCTTCCATTGGTGGTCATGTAAGTATATATGCGGGGGATTCAGAATTTCGTAAGTATTTACTTTATATATCCGTGGGACGTATGGACGCATGTGTGTATATAATGAGTAGGCGTGTTACAGAGTTTAGTAGCTGAGAAAGAAAGTAGATTTATCTATGTGTACGTATTCGTAAGCCACACATACGAACACTTATGCGAACGTAAAACGGAATAAAGGACACCAGTCGGTCTTTGTCGGGGCCTTTTTTTATTGTTACTTCTATCTAAGCGAGAAGCCAGTTATGGGGGAGTGGTTTGCTCAAGTGTTTACTTAATCACCTCCTCCATTTCTACGACGAACATTCGTTATAGCAACGATGAAACATTTTTCTTCCAAATTATATAGCAATGGGACAAATACAGGGCATGCGGGTTCAAGCCTTTTTCTGCATATAAGGAGAAGATATGAGAAGTAGATATCCGTAATTGGTAATGAATGAATACTACCAGCCCCAGTCGAATTTAACTTCGATGATAATTGTTATATTTCCAATGAGGATAATTTCTATACGGCACTGCACCCACAAAACTGTATATATATATATATATATATATATATATATATATATATATATATATATATATATATATATATGTGGGGGGGGCAAATATATGAAAAATAGTAAAGAACACGTTAGGTAAATAATCCGGAGTTCTTTAGTATTTTTGTTTTTATTTTTTTAAATAATTACATATATATATATATATATATATATATATATATATATATATAGCGTACAGTGAAGGCTGGTGATAATAAAACAGTGCTAAAATTTATACTAATAAGAAATATACATAAAATGTATATTTATCATTGGTCTGTGTATATATATATATATATATATATAGATAGATAGATAGATAATTGATAATATTAGTGGGAAATTATACACATACATATGCAAAATATATAAATATATATACATACATACACATACATATATATTTGTATAAAAAATAATAATTCCAAGAGGATAGAGTCCAGGTAGAACTCAATTTTCAGTACAGAGTAAGGATATAATAAAAAGGCTTAAACACTAATATTCCATGGTCATAATTTATTCCATTGGAATCGTAAATACGATCCAATTCATCAGACCTACAAATTCAAAAAGAAAACAGAAAAAACAACTCCGGGAATAAAAAATGTCGCCTCTAAGTGTTGACTTCTATATATATATATATAGTATAGCTGACCACTAGTATTCGATGATCCCCGTCTACTAGAGCGGTTAGCCAATCCCTGTTGCAGACGCTTACTCAGGCGCATTTGTGTTCATTCAATGGTTTGTGCTGCAATTATGCTGAGCAGACCTTATTTAGAGTTTCTATAGATAGAAACTGTAACTAAGGTGTGCTCAGTGATCAACGATTTGAAGAAGGCCAGCACGCTCAAGCCCTCGGCCACGATGGCTTGTGACTTCGTGCTAGCACAGATATCGACGGCGCACAAGGGTTTTGTCTACTCAATTTTATTCACGAGGCTTGGTTCAACCTGTGGTATGGTTTTCAGGCAAAGATGCCGCACGCTCGGATCGATTCCTCCAGTCCGATAACATTAGGAAGTGAGATTCGAACCCGGGTCTCATGGTCAGAACGCGAACGTTCTAACCACTCGGCCACGTGACCATTTTATATATGCGTATATATAAAACAAACTGTATAGACCACATATATATTTATAGATTTATACACTGTCTGTCTGTCTGTGTGTGTGTGCGTGCCTTTTTGGAATAGGCAGTTAAAATTACCAGTGGACGTAATTTTTTTTACATTAATTATTAGTGTGAATAATTGGGATGTAAACCCTAAATATAATGTACATATTCATGAACATATATTTAGTTAGCATAGTCTGCTACAAGGACACGAAAAAGGAGCGTTCAAGCTTACGATCCCCTCAATGTTCAAAGAAATAGATGTACAGTAAATAGAAACATTTTTATTCTGTGATTTAGGTTTACTTTAACCAGCAAATAGGTCTGCGAGAAGACTTTGGTAAACATCACTTTACGATGGGCGCCATGTATGTAAAGAACATCTATCTCGTTAACTTATAATAGCAGAAAACCGACTGCATGCGGATAGAGAGTGAATTCTGTAGATATACAATTATAGAAAGGAGAATAAAGCAAGGGTGTGTCTTCTCACCGGACCTATTCAATTTATACAGTGAGACGATTCTGAGAGAATTAGAAATCCTAACAAAATTCATTACTGGCAGTCACGATCTTAACAACAGAAGCTATAGCAGATACCGGAGAGAAACTACAAGAATTTCTACAGAAGGTAGTTAAGGAAAGCGAGAAGAAAGGACTAAACAACAATTGCAAGAAGTGGCATAGTTGTTAGCAAAATGAAGAGCCCAATATGCAAATTACAAATTGCGTATACCAAAATCAAACTAGAACTATCTGGGAAGTGTTTTAACAGAAGACGGAAAGTGCGACACTGAAATTCGAAATTGCATTGGGATAGCGAAAGGTGCCTTCAAAAAGCTAAGCAGCGTATTAAGAAACAGAAAAAATTCGTAAGAAATAAAGAAAATGAGTACTGAACTGTTACGTCATATCAGTCCTCATATCTGACAGACTACTGGTGCTCCTGCTATTCATTTAGAGAATCTTGATAAAATAAAAAAGAAGAATCTGCAATGTTATTGATCCTTAACTGGCATCTCGCCTTCAGACGCTTTCCCATCACAGTAATTTAGCTTCCCTGTGCCTTTTCTAATAAATACTTTCATGGTAATCAATCTGATGAATTTTGCTCTATAGTACAGAGACTATATGAATTTAAGCGCAGTACTAGATTGGCAGCTAGGTCTCATTTTACAGTAGCAAAGATAATATGTAACCGTAAGTTTTATGCTAAAAGTTTCTTGTATCGCTCTTCTTGATTGAGGAGCTCTCTCCGGCGTCTAGCTTCCTAGTTTACTTTGATATTCAGAAATTTAAATGCAATGTCAACGTCTATCTTATATCTTCTTAATTCTTATTGCCTTCTGTTCTTAATAATATTTTTATTTTTTTTCCACATACTCCCTAATAACCAGGAACTTTTCGCATCTTAGTGGCTTTATTGCCTTGCTTGAGGTGAAATTATTTTTTAAAAAAAAAAGACTAATCGATTCTTAATATTGACTTTTATTTGAAACGATACAAAGATAAATGGTAAGGATAGTCAGTGTGTAGAAAGATCATATTGCGCCAATAATTCAAATGGGAAGGGGCTTCCGGTCTGCCTTGAAAATCAGCATCAGGCCAAGAGCTAAGTAAACAATTTAGTTCTGCAATTACAGACCCACTAGCAATCCACCATTCATTTTCTTTTGCTTCACTGTAAATTCACTCCCAAAGAGGCGGGACTGTTTATATTTCTGTCTAAATTCGTCTGAATTAACTGAAGCATCAAATCTGATGCGGGGGTGGAAAGGAGAGCCTCGGTTTAGCCAGGGCGAAAGCTGGGTTGAAGAAAGGAAATCTCAGCTTTGAACTAACGTCTTGTTGAACTAACGCACAAAAGTCATAATTTTTTTTTATAAACGAAATAATAATCTGTAAACACCAAGTCAGACTTTACTGTGCAAGTCAATGAATAATAAATTTGGTAAAAATTCCAGGATATATTTATATGGGCAAAATATTGTGTGAGTTTCAGCCCAAATCGGGTCTTATAAAAATATTGATAGTTACTTGTTTTGAGGATATTAGTAGTTATGATGAAAGAAACAAAGTGAAATATAATTTCAAAAGATAAAACCCAAAGAAAAGTATATTCTATTAACACAATTTATTCATGGATAGGGGATATTTTATCACTTTATAATGCTAATATGATTTTCTTCTTCTTCTTCTTCTTCTTCTTCTTCTTCTTCTTCTTCTTTGTACCCTGCCCCTTTATGACGTTGACGATCATGGCTCCCGACGATTTACTGCACTTTGTAAATCTTAATAAACTTTCTCTTTTTGTTATCTGCTCTAAGCAGTTCCACTATCCATTTACTCAATCTCGCTCAGTAGGTCATGAATTATTTTCTTCTCTCCCTCTTGTCTTTAAATCTGTCCTGTAAGTATCAAACTTTCCAGGCCCTCTTTCCTCATTATATGCCCTAGAAATTTCAACTGTCTCTTCCTGATATTAATTATAAGATTTTCCTCTAAAACTTCGTCGTTGCTCATGTGTTCGGTCCATAATATTCTCAGCATCCTTCTGTAGAATCACATTTCTGTTGCTTCAAGCCTCTTCTTCACTTATGAGGAGATTGTGCAGCATTCATTGCCATATAGGTGGATCAATATTACATAGCAGTTCAGTACTCTTTTCTTTGTATCTTACGAAATAATTCATTCCACATCCGTATCAAAATTGGAAAACGATAATAAAAAATTAAACAGGTAGACCTTGTCAGTATAATTTAAATAAACCTCATTCATTGGATTCTTTCGCTTAAATTAATTAACGCGTGCACACACATTCACCGATACCCGGTTCACACTCCTCCCCGGTCTTTTGAACAGGAGTAGGGGTTTATCCCTTGTTTCCTGTTGAGGATTGGCTTTCCAGTTCCTTCTAAAGTCTTCTAATTCTCTTTCAATCCCAATAACCGCTTACGTATTAGAGGCATTATCGCCTTGCTTGGGGAGAAATGTTTTTAAAAATATGTAGATAGATATAGACTGCGTGGATATAAGAATCAAGACTGCACTTTTTACCATTTGATCCGATATTCAGACCAGTTTCTTGTAGTCAATGCAACGGTGAGGGCTTTACTAATATTCTTAATTCAGGATCTACTTTTAAGCTATAGTTAATGTTATTTTCCCAAACCTTTGCTCATAATTTATTTCCTTCTTACACAATTTATTAATCCGTCCTTATGCCTAGCACAGCAAATGACTAATTTATATTACTTACATTTCTATTCTCTTTCTTTTATACTAACTTCAAGACGTGGCTCTCCACAACTTCCTATTCTTCGTTCAAAGTAATATTTGTACCCCTGTTATACCTTCCAAACCCGATTCTGCCATCCATTTGCACAAATTTATTAGCTAGGAGCTCGCTGTTTTTTTTTTGGGGGGGGGGGGAGGGTGCCGCGCTTGTATATCCTGAGAGAGTTACGTTCTCCAAGCCCTCTTTCCTCTTTATGCGGTCCAGAAATACCAACAGTCTCTTTTTGACTGTAAGCATAAGTGTCCTTTTAGTTCGCATTTTTCTTAAAATTTCATGTTCTATCCGTGATATTCTCAGCGTTCTTTCTGTTGCCGCAAGTCTCCTCTTCATCTGAAAGCAAAATGTCCCGCATTCACTGCCATATTGATACTACATAACAGTTCAGCTCTTTTTTCTTTGTTTCTAACGACATTTTCCTGCCTCTTAATACTGTCTTTCCCTATTCACACGCGCCTTCGGGTTACTGTGTCACGTGTCCAGTCTCTTATAACACTTCTCAGATAGTTAAAGACTATCATTCTTTCTGCCAGAACCATTGATACGCAGGATAGAAATCTTGGCCAGCATTCATAAAGAACAAAAAAATAAGAAAAGTCTTGAACATTAATTACGTGATGGCGAGGGATTTGCAAAATCTAGGGCTGTCGGCAAAAAAAAAAAAAAAAAGTCATAAGCACCAATACATATCGAAACTGTTGCTATGGTAACAGAATTGAAGTACGCAGAATGAAATCGTGTGGCACAGATTGACCCTGGATTCTGTTGCGCATGCACACTAAGTTCTAACTCTCTCACTCACTTCCGTTGTTTATGACAAAGCTTGGAAGGGAAGTGTGTAGAGTGTGTCCGTCTCATCACAACATAGACCATCAGTGACCATGGCTTATACAACAGTTTTTGGCATCCCCCAGGTCCGACAGCCACTATATTTCCCAGATATCGCCCCTTGCAACTTTTTTTCTTTTCAAAAATCAAATCTCACTTGAAAGGAACAAGATTTCAATACTTCGAGGAAATCCGAAAGAATTCGACGAGGAAGCTACTCTCTATCCCCAAAGAAGGAGTCCGGCTTCTATCAATGCAAAAGACGCTGAATAAAGTGTTTGGCTTCAAAAGGGGAATACTTCGAAAGAGATTAAATGCTGAATTAATATGGTGGTTTTCTAAATGAAGCTTAGATTTAGTCTGAAAGTATGGGGTCAGCCAGTAAGGATCGAACTCACTATTCAGTCGTATTTGTTCAAGCGAGACAAGCTTGCTAGCCACTACATCACGAGTAATGGCTGGCAAGAAGTGTCCATAGTGATTTTTTTAAACTTGGCTTAGATGTGACAGCAGGCCGAATGTATGGAGCCCCCAGTGAGGATCGAACCCACAAATCAGTCGACAAGCCCGCTCACCATGCACCACGTCGAATTGCCCCAAATGCCGGATTGATATGTGTTGTTTTCTTTTTTTTAGCACCAGTGCCGATACTTTTGGACCAGACCTCGTACTTGTCAGATACAAGGAACGCGAATGCCATCTGCTAGAATTTCAGTAATAAATACTCAGAACACAACGCTTCGCAATTGTGTATGTGTGTGTGTAACTGTCTATATGCCTACATATGCAGTCGCCATTTTGTCAACTGCAAAGTCTAGTAAAGTCAGTTGGGCACCGTATATGAGAAAAAAGAGCACTATGAACCAGCTCACTCCACCAAAATGTGGAAGTTCTAATACGTACATTTCAGAGAGACTGGGTGTCAATCTGAGGATTTGGAAAGAGTTGGAAGAGTCTAATGATGATTACGAAGGTTTGGAGTGATCACTAGTGATGGCAACGTTATACCCCCATTCATCTTCACTCAGACTCAACACAGAGGCCTACATCAAGTGTCTTGAGGAGTCAGTGCTGCCTTGGCTCAAGAAGGTGTCTGCTGGCAGACCCCATGTCTGGCAACAGGATTCTGCACCATGCCACACAAGCAGGAGAACTCAGTCATGGCTGTCAGACAATTTCTGCGACCACATCCCCGCTTACATCAGGCCACCTAACTCCCAAAACTACAACCTCATTAATTATTATGAGTAGGACGCAGTTGAGTGAGATATCAATAAAACTCCTTGTAACACCAAAGATGAACTGAAGGCAGCGATTATGGCAGCATTCACTAAATTAACAAAGGATTCCGTCCAGAAGAGATGCAGGAGACTCCATAGTCGTCTGGAGGCTGTACTCTTTAGTATTTCAAGATATTTTTGTGTAATTTTGGTAAATATATGTGTTAAAATGAGATGTCAGTGTTATTTTTTTTATTTTTGCGTAATTTAGACGATAATGTATCCATCGCAGCATGCACTTGTGTGCGCATGCGTTTGTCGAAATATTTTTCACAGACATGCAAACCTCAAGCATTAAATGTTTAACAAAACACTAAATATAAGCTTATATTGATTTAAATGCGACTATATGAGATGTTAACGTAAAAAGGCGTTAAAATACATCACCCTACCACCTAGGTATTACCGTCTCCTTCTCGTTTCCTCTTCGCACACTGGCTCGCCTAGGGTACTATTCACAAATAACTGCGTCAAAATGTCTTACTTCATTCGCTTCGTGCCCCATTCAAACGACTCGAACTTTTGAGCAACACATTTTATGTGTCTGTGTGTTCCGGTCATAACAATTCATTTATGAGAACCTCCTTACAAAAATAGAGAATTGAAGTGACCGGGTTCGGGATCTGCTGACGAATATTGAGAAAACCATGAACAAAACATGTGAACACCGTTTAAAAGTAATAATAATACGTCGACGCAGTCACTGGCCAACAGCAATGGAGTCATTGCATTGTGAACTCCGCGACCTTGTCAATGTGAGCCATACAGGGCCGGTGCAATGGTCTCGTCCCCACTATCACCACCACTAATCAATGATACGAGCCCCTCACGCTAGTCCATCTCAATTTTCATAAGAAATACAAATTTCCATATGAAGTACAAATTTTATTGTAAACTAATTATGTACAATAATGGATCATATGCAATATAGGTGAATATTTTAACTAGAAAATTGAAAATAAATACAATGTATCTAAATAAACATTAGAGACATTCATAATAGATCATTCCATCTTAAATAAGTCAACAATGTTCTATGGCATTTTTTAACATCAACTTGAGATTTTTCTTGTTAAAAATTTGACTAATTTTAACACATTCAACATTTTGGATGAAAAATAGTGACTTTTATATAGTGTTTTTTTTTTCAAGACTCAGCATGAAACAAACAAATTCATGGATTTGAAAAAAAAAAAAGACTCCCAAAAATGACGCCAGAATCTGCGAAATTTGTCCATCGTTTAATAGTTTTACTTAATTTAATTTGTAACATATAAAAATGTAGGTAGAAAAAAAGCAAATGTTGATAAGGTAGCGAAGGTCAAAAAGCACTGCTCGGGGTCCCAAATCAGCTTGGTCCCACCCCTGGTTGTGATATTCAGTGGTAGTACGCACAGAGACCCTGGCTCAATAGTATGTGTTACACTAGGGCTACATACTGTTCAAAATTCTCCTTCTCTTAGACTGGTTGCCACCAATGGTGAAGAGTTCAAACTACCCTACCGTTTAACCCATAGCTGAAGGGAGATGGGATGGACTGCATGAAATTGAATGAAACGGTTCACTGAATTCTTGTACGGAGCCGCTATCCATTATAAGGCATTCGCACGTGCGACGAGGAAGTTTTAAGGAAAATAGACACTGCAAGATAATTTATACTTAGAATCAGAAAGCTGCCATACGTGGACAGGAGCTGCCCAGTCTTCACTTGCCACTTCCGATAAAGTTCAAAATTCCACGTCCTTGTGAGTGAGGAATTTTTTCCCCATATCATACAGCGTTTTCTAATAACTGAAAGTAGACATAACTTGTAACCAAATCTTGTTAGCTAAGTTAGTGTCAACGCCATCACTTGTATAATATCTTCAGTGGCACGTTCTATGCAGTGGTGCTGTCGATCAATAAATATGTATTTACAGATAATAGCACAGTTTATAGAACAACTTTCAGAATAAAGTTGATCCGAGCCTGATAGCTGATCTCTCACTAATCTTGCTCTAACAGCTCAATGAATGAAAAATGATCTTGTAACTTTCAATACCTAAAAAAAAAGAAAAAAAAAAAAAAACTAAGTATCGTGCCTTCTTGGGTTAACATTAATTAGTATGTAAAAATTATATTTGTACACAAATCCAACTGAACTTGAAGCTGGAGAAACAAACACCACCGATTGACTTACTGCTGTTTTATTAAACATATGATTTAGACGCAGTCTAAATAGTGCCAGGATCAGATGCACATAATTAATATAGTACAGATGTTCTGAACTTTTATTTCTGTAAAGCGAAAACAATGTCTAAACGATATATAAATTACAGTTCAGATCGGAGCATAAAAAAAGGAATGCGTGGTATTTTCAAGTTCTTTCAAAGCACTCATGTGTAAAAACTCCACGCATCCAGCTTGATGACTCATTTCTTGTCTAAGTTAACAATGATTTCATTTTTTTAATATACGAAGATCATTAAGATATACGGAACATTTAAATTATAAAGGATAAATATAGAATCAACCCGTCCTTCAGAGAAATGAAAGCTCAACAAAACTGATAAATATCAGCATGAAAGTTTGATTCATGAAAAGGTTTAAAAAAAAGGAGAGGATGAAACATTTCCCGATGTCGTTTCACAGTTAACATATGTTTCTCTCTCTCTCTCTCTCTCTCTCTCTCTCTCTCTCTCTCTATATATATATATATATATATATATATATATATATATATATATATATATTTATATTATAATTATTTTAAAAATCATATTTTTTTAAAATAATTATAATTCAAGGTCTACTTCTGTATGGAGCGCTGTTTATTTAAAAAAAAAATACTAAAGAACTCCTGATTATTTACCTAACGTGTTCTTTCCTATTTTTCTACATATCCACACACACACATATATCTATATATCTATATATATATATATATATATATATATATATATATATATATATATTCATATTCTGTTGATATGTTTTTTTTTTTTTTTTATGAATACACTTATTTGAGTAAATACTGTGTTTCTTAATTAAACAGTATTAATTACATTTACCAGTCTGGGAGTTTGAGAAATTTTGTAGAAAATATGCGTCGAATTAATTTCATATAGTATATTGTCATTGTTTACATATATTAGGCTACAATTTTAGCGCAGATATGATAAATTGAGAAAAATTGGCGAACGTGTGTGTTTAAAAGCAGTAATTCGTGCTTAGCTAAAACGCAATTTCTCTGTGGCTGAACCATTATAGCACGTCAGGCTTAATTACGGTTCCGTATAGGTTACAGGTTCGATTCCTGTTGGAAGACGCATAAAAAAGCCTTTAAACAGAAAATACATTAACTCTCGTTAAAGACGATAGACAACGTACTACGATTAAGCTTTTGATTCAATTTTTTCCTGTAGACGGACAAGTGTGTCTTTTTCTAGACACAAAGCGTGTAAAAACTGTCAAAAACTTCTCCACATCTGACCGCTTTCGTTAATTCTTTCAGCCATTATCAAAGACGACTTTTTAACTCGATGCGTTATTTTTTTATGTATGTGCTTGAAGTTTAGGAATGTTTACAGACACAAGTTAACAATGACTTTCATAACCATCTTATAGACCACCAAATTAGACTATTTATTTCCAAAGTAAATAATAATGATAGTGAACACAGTAAAAAATAACAAATATTTTCTACAAAAGTCAAATGCACGTCAACTATAAACAAGATGAATTTTCACTTAGAAATATCATAAAGAAATACACTACCCCAATTAACACGAAGAAATAATCAAATTAATTATCTGCTAAAAAAAATTTAAAACAGATAACCTTATCCTCAAAAATAACAACACCAGCAAAATCAAAATTACAACGAACGAACATTATTTATGAATTCAAATGTTCCTCAAGGAACTGTGTTCCTGATCAAAGCGAATTCATAAATAATTACATTGGTCACACAACTACATGCCTATCCAGACGCCTTACGTTACACCTATCCGACCACAGCTATATCAGAATCCATTTAAACACACACACACACGAATTTAACAGACGCGATCCAAAACATACTAATAGAAAATACAAACATAATAACCCCATCCAGGTGTAAAAAAGATTTAAAATAATGGAAGCCTTAACACTTGCATTATTTTAAATCTTTTTTAAAAGGATACAATAGAAAAGAAAAATCCAACACTCGGAAAATAAAACATCCCTATAACTCTAGAAACATACACACAACACATACAACCAGTTAAAAAGTAAAAATAAAATCACCGACGATGATAGCTAAGAGTAAAGTCGAAAGCGCTCAGAATTTCAGAACATCTTTTCTATACATTCTCTGTCCGGAAAAGAAAACACTTGTTCGAACACAAGAAAAATTAAATAAGTTTAATTGCAGTATCTTGTGGGTCATCTTTAATGAAACATGGATAAATATATGGATTTGTAGATACGAACTGTAATTTGGATTCAGAATACTCTATATAACACACACACACACACACACACACACACACACACACACACACACACACATATACATATATATATATATATATATTATGAAATAGTAAAAGTCCGACAATTATTTTAAAACATTTTATGTTTACACATTATTTTTATAGATATAAATATTTAAGTAAATGTTTTGTTTATAAGAAACAGTATTAATAACATTTACCGGCCTGAATGTCCGAGAAATTGGTAAAAGTACGTCAGGCTATATGACGGTTCCGTATAGGATGCAGGTTCGATTCCTGGCGGAGGACGTATATTTTCTATGACAATTTCTCGGACATTCCAACCGATAAATGTTATTAATACTGTTTATTATAAAGAGAGCATTTACTTAAACATTTGTATCTATAAAAAAAAGAATGTATAAACATAAAAATGTCTTCTTTTTTTATTTATTTATTTTATATATATATATATATATATATAGTCCTAACTATGGTACTATTTATGTTTAGATTTTTTTTTATGTATTTATATGTTTATGTGCGTAGGTATAAGTGTGCATAAGAAACACTTTCTCTTCTGGTTGGTATTGTCCCCATTATTGTTCGTGTTGTCGACTATCCATTTGATTGACTCCTGAGGTCATGAGGGACAAACACATTTACACACTCCAAAATGAATGCATCGTTTCTTCAAAGGCTCTGAATATAATGTATTCAGCTAACAACAGATTATATTATAGGGCAGCCTGAAAGAATACTAAACGTTCGTCTTTTTTTTATGTTCCTAACTCTCTAGGTACATATTCGCACGAGTTTTCGGAGCTTGATTGAGATATAAATTCATTATTTTTTGGGATCTATTCAAATTGAATAGAAAAGCAATCAATGATCATTTTTTTCTCTCAGTTTGTGCGTTTCTTATTATTACGTTCACGCACGCAACTTTTAATTATAATCTGTTCTTTTAAGGAAATTCCGTTCTGTTTGGTGATCCAGCAGCATAAAATGTTCAAATATTCATATGTTTATTTTTCCTTTTCTTTCTCTCGATTTGTTCCCATGAAGCAGAGAATACGGAAAATTATCGTCATGTCACGACTCTCTTAATCTATCAGTACCGTAGGGCCACCACATGTATCACAGCTATAGCAACAATCTAGTACAAGATAGCTTGAAAGAGTCTATCCCTAGTCGGGCTACTTTTGAAAATTTCCCAAGTTTTCCTTTTCCTTTTCCTAGAGAAGTTACCACCTCAATGAAAGACATCCTAGTCAGTCTTACTATTTGACACCCAGATAGAGATAGATTCATATTCGAACTCGGCTCTCCGATTTCTCATTCCGAGCAGTTATCAGTTATACCACACGTACAACCAAGCTTACAGCAACTGGTGTGCCCAAGCGGCCAACCAACTAAGCACTGACCAGGTTCGCAGGAGTTAAACATTAGCTAATGGGGGTTTATTGAGGCGTGTTTAACGTCCTTGTGCTGTAAGTGGAACTATGATTTTCCTCATTTTAGATGGGAGAAGTGACTCAGACCCGGAGATTCTAACCCTGCGGCAAGCACCTTCCCGCTAAAGGGGTTGGATCAGTGGGATACCGACGTGATAGCGGTCGTGGAGGCTGGACAAAAATACATTTTTTGTCCTTGGCCCATATGCCTAAGTACGTGTACGGCGATCCCCACGTTAAAACAACCTTGAGTAATACCCAGCCTTGTTTAGGAGGCAGGGTAAATATACCTGGAAAGGCTCGCCGTTGATCCGACGAGAATCGGTGATCAGAGGATGATCGGACGAGAATCGGTGATCGGAGGATGATCGGACGAGAATCGGTGATCGGAGGATGGTTGGACGAGAATCGGTGATCAGAGGATGATCGGACGAGAATCGGTGATCGGAGGATGATCGGACGAGAATCGGTGATCGGAGGATGATCGGACGAGAATCGGTGATCGGAGGTTGATCGGACGAGAATCGGTGATCGGAGGATGGTTGGACGAGAATCGGTGATCGGAGGATAATCGGACGAGAATCGATCGGAGGTTGATCGGACGAGAATCGGTGATCGGAGGTTGATCGGACGAGAATCGGTGATCGGAGGTTGATCGGACGAGAATCGGTGTTTCAACGTGACATGGCTGTGCGCCTGTCCATATTTAGGGGGTCTTATTTCATGTTAGTACCTTCCGGAATCGAAACTACTTTGCCGGTCACTGCAGTGTTGCTGCTGCATCGTTACATGAGATATGGGTCGTGGGAGTATTAAACGATACGGTGGGTGAATCTTTCTCACCATAGTCCAGTACATCAAGTAATCTTTCATTTTCTGTTAGTGATATTCACATAGAGCCAATAGATACAAAACACACACATATACACACACTCACGCGCAAGACAGATGATTAAAAATAAAGAGTCTATTCGTGGATAATAATAAAGAAATCTAACCGGTATTTCAAATCTAAATTAGATTACATTGGGTATTTTGATACAGAAAAACACTCTTATGCACGTCTGATGAGAAGCGACGTTTAACAAGCTAGTCACGCAGGCCATTGACAGTGAGTTTGGTAAACAGTGAGCACTTCACTCTCATTGCCTTATATCACACGATAATGTCTATTATTCAGGACTGACTAGGCAGAAGATATTCCCACAGCAGGCGGTAGATCAGTTGCCAGACCAAAGTTTAGGGCACCAGTTTTTCCTGCTATTCAAGGTAGAAGCGAAGTCGAATTCATTTCTTTCGCAGAGCTATTTGTGAATGCGACGAACCCGAGGGAAATTCGAACTCGGATCTCCGATTTCTCATTCCAGGGCATTATTCATTACAGCGTACCGTACATCCCAGAATAAAATAGGTTCAGTAAATATCTATTCAGGGTTCTTTTACTTTTTCTCTTGGAGTGTTAGCAATATTTCTACAGTTGGATCCTTTAGCTAAAACTGTTTCTCAGCTGTTGGAACTTGTTGGTTTACGTCCACCTTGACAAATAAATCAATAAGTATACGATGTCGAATCAGCTTCCGTCTGAAAAGATGCGAAGCAATTATATCTTGCAGGAATAAAAAGATCTGAACGTTTTATCGGCAACTAAAGAAACAAGACCTGCAATGGGAATGATTACAAGAAAAGACAATCAAAATGACGCTAAATATTGATACAGGAGTTACGCTCCCCCTTTCTTTCTTTCTCTCTCTCTCTCTCTCTCTCTCTCTCTCTCTCTTTCTCTCTCGATCGATCTATCTTATATATATATATATATATATATATATATATATATATATATATGTGTGTGTGTGTGTGTGTGTGTGTAAATTTAAACAGTTATTTCTTCTACCGCCCTGTGTAATTAATAAAGGAAATAGAACCTTGCTTGATTGTGAAACTCTCCGTAACAGAACGGTGAAAGCACGGCGGATCAGTCTGTTTTCTCTTGTAAATTAGGAGGCAAATTCACATCGTTCCAATGGGCACATATTCGTGCAAGGAACTAAGAATTGTGCCAAACGGTGAGAAACAAAATGCATATTTATTACTTTTACTATTATTATTATTAGTAGTAGTAGTATGTATATATATATATATATATATGTTTATATAAATACAGATCATATATATATATATATATATATATATATATATATATATATATAAGTAACTATACTCGTCTCGAAAAACCTTCGAATTTTTGATTTGCCAATAATCAAATCAATCTCAAAGGAAAAAGGTTTTAAAAAAGAAAGAGCCAGGAACATGAAAGTATGTCGAAAATATCGGACAGACTCTCTCTCTCTCTCTCTCTCTCTCTCTCTCTATATATATATATATATATATATATATATATATATATATATAAATTCATGAATCATTCATACAAAAAACAAATATAGAGGTTTTTGTATGAATAATTCATGAATTATAATTTGCACCTTTAATTGATACACACACACACACACACACACATATATATATATATATATATATATATATATATATCAATATATATATATAATATTATTATTATTATTAATGTACACATTGAAAAATTTTATATCCAGGGTAGCATATTTAAGTGAAATGCATAATTTCAAAAAAAAAAAAGAAAAGTTTATAAAATCTGATGTCTTGCTGAAAATCTTTTTTTATACAGAAGTTTCAAAGAGTCAAGAGAACTTCTAATAGAGCTGAACTTTTCTCTGTTCGTAGGACGGTTATTTGGCTAGTGATTATTAAAAAAAAAAAGGTAATCTATGGACAGGCATGATCGCCTATGTCCTGAATAGACATGGCAGAAGTCAAAAAAAAAAAAAGTGAAAAAGAATTATCCTTCTTTTTTTACCATGTTTTTAAATTATTTTTTCTAAAATTTTTACATTATATAATATTTTTTTCTTTTTTTTTTTGAATTCGTATTAATTCAGAGCTTGATCGGCTGAACGAATCGGCTTACATAAGACAAGATGGCGACACACGTCAACAAAAATCTCAGCGTTATCGCAGTATCCCAACATGTTATTCGCTTTTCTCGAACTAACGTCTCTTGGAAACCATCTTATTGTCAGCCTGTTCTTTCACCAACAGATTAAATCTCATTTCTACCGTCACTGGCTTTACTCTTTTTGTGTTTTGATGAAGGAAACAAGGCCGGCGGTCGGCCCTCATGAATTAAAGATGCGATCTTTCAAAAAACAAAAAAAAACTTTGTGCATTCAACATTCATCAGAGACAGAGACTACACGATAAGCAACTGAATCACTTTACTGGAACCAAATGTAACCCGCCACGCGTCGGTCCGTGTTCAGAATTAATATCCCTTGTTGATGAATTCAAAATCCACCCACGGTTTGTATTCAGGGTTGGTTCAAATGGTTTTTCGCCAGCAATTTCGATCTGATAAAATTTTATATAAACAGGGTCATTAATAAACAAACATTATAAAAATGTCGTTAAAGAGAACGCCACCCTATTGAAGTTAATTTTGTTTTTAATTCATTACATAGACTTTTAGAAAGAACTGTTGCTACGACTCTCGTGTTCTTTCAGACATAATTTTAACTGGACAAGTAAAGTTTTGTCATAAACCAGGTTATTTTGGGGCCGATTTTTTATTTAAAAACATTTTTATGAAGAATTAAAATTAAATTTTTTTTTTTAAACATTTTTTGGGTCTATTCTTTAATTGAAAAATTTTTTATCGAGATTACCCTAAATTTAAATGTTTCTATTTTAGGTGAAGTTTTTATCTGCTATTGTAATTAAACAAGGTTCCAAGTTTATTAATTTAGTTTAAACCTTTTCGTTGTATAATTATGTTCGTAAGTCTCTTGGCTTTAGTTTGTTGAAATGGACCAAACAAATTATTTCCGTCGTTTCTGGGCATGTTTCTGTCAGTTTATGAATTAATGATGTTGAAAGTATGACATCTGTTTTCATAGATTGCAGTATTTGTCTTTTATATATATCTATATGTGTGTGTGTGTGTGTTTACTATTTTATAAAATTTCACACTAAAATTATATCTGGCATACTGGCTGTAGACTCACAATAATTTCCTCCCCCACTTACAATATATATTTATTGTCTTAGACTATTCACGTGTGCAGTCGTCGTGTAGGTGGAAACAATATGAGCTTTGGTCGTCATTTGTTTTTGATCTAATTAAAGTTCTAGAAATTTGTTTTAAAACTTACTTTATAGGAGTCATTGTCTTAAAGGGAATCATTATTAGCATTATATTAAAATGACTATAAACTGTGTGTTGAGATTTGTATTCTCAGTTGGATGCATTGCAAATATCCAGCTCGTAATTTTAAAGGATTTTAGAATATTCAGTGACACTTCACGGCAACTGGTCTTACGGAAGGTTGCATGACAAATTATTAAGCAAACAATGGCTTTCTCTCGATTTAAAAACAGTTAAGCCGAGGTAAAATTTTAGTTAATGGAAATGTATATATATATATATATATATATATATATATATATATATATATATATATATATATGTGTGTGTGGAGAGAGAGAGTGAAAGTGTCGGAGTTAACTCTTCCTTAATTTCCAAATTGTTCACTTGGACAGGCTCTCCATACACTATAAATAATGGACGATTTTTTTACCTCGTTCTGGTTTTACTTTGCATTTCAGCGGACATATTTAAAAAAAATGTGATCTGTCGCAGAGATCTGCGTTTTGCCCACTTGTGGGAAAACGCCATGAAACACACACATACATACACGTACATGCAAACGTGAACACCCTAAGAATTTGCAAGTACGATATTCAATCGACAATAATAGCAAATTTTCTTAAGTTCTGAAACATATATTCGACACAATGCCTTAAGCGATATATATATGTCAGTTTCATGCCTTAAGCGATCATCAGATATAGTCTTATGATCACTTAAAGCCTATAACTAACAGTCATCTCTCTTTTTACACGTATATATATATATATATATATATATATATATATATATATATATATATAGAGAGAGAGAAAGATAGGTAACACTAAAGAGATAGTGAAAAAATAGGCTAAGAACTATTTTTTTTAATCGAGTATGTGAATGGGTCTCATGAGCTAAATTGCCAAATATTCCCAAAATCAATCCCGTATTCGTAGTTGATGAGTGAGATGTTATCAGTGAAATCTTATACAGACAATGTCAACAAAACTGCCAAACATACGTTAGCAATATGAAAGGACTGCATTTGCGACGTCAATGAAACGAGCCCCGCAGTACGCGCCAACCGGGGGCGACATTCAAATGAATAGAAGAAAAATAACAATCAGGAAGATTGAAAAGCTTCAAACACACAATGACAAAAAACAAGAAAAGCCGAAGAAAAGAAAAAAAGAAAATTGTAACAGTATCTTCAGTTATATAATATGCTTGACGCCCCCTGTCGGCAGAGCTGGGTGTCATATTCCTCTGAGTTGCATACCAAACGATAAGCGGGTATATCACGGCTATGCACTGGAGACTAAGTCAAGACAGCTTCCGCCATTAAAACTTTCCTAGAACTGTAAGCACAACAGTAAATTAATAATGCGAAATTGTTTTGGGAATCTGTTTTGTTTCCAAAAAAAATTTCGCTTGAAGATGGAACAGAGCTTGGTACTTTAATTCAATTTAATTCAAATAATTATATTGAAGTTTTCGGCTCTTGTTTTGAAACATGAGAACTCTTATGTAGCGTTGGAATCATATTTTTAAATAAATAATTATATTTATGGTCTACTTTTGTATCGAGCACTGTTTTTTTAAAAATAATAACAAAAATACTAAAGAACTTTGGATTTTTTACCTAACGAGTTCTTTCCTATTTTCTATATTTTACAAACACATATATATATTTTACTCGAAAAACACATATATATATATATATATATATATATAAAAATATATATATATATATATATATAAAGAAATATAGTTTAAGGTCTGCTATATATATAGGATAAAGTGCTCAATATCAGAGATAGAACGTATGTAAATATGAATATAAAAGTGAACATTGAAGTCAACACTGTTTCATGCTAGACACAGTCGTCAGGCCTTATATATATATATATATATATATATATATGTGTGTGTGTGTGTGTGTGTGTATATATATATATATATATATATATATATTACATTCACTTACGTGCTAATACCCTTGATCCTCTTTTTCTCCCTCGAACTATGGGTAAATAACAGGACAGACTGGGTTCTATAGCCTTGAATGGTCTAGAAGAAGGACAACTCTAAATTCAAAACCTGTGGAGGGTCGTTTGGGGACCTTGTGGTATGTAGTTCACCAGGTCTCATCATTCGGTCCTTCTAAAACGTTGGTTGGTTCTGCACGAATGTTTCACCACTATAATCAAATCATATGTGCTGGTGCCTGACTGTCGGTTCCTAGGAACTGATTTGCTTGATCCTCATACGTCGAATACGACGGGAGAGTCCACCATATATAACTCCGCCGAAAAACCAAAAGAAAACACGCCGCTGTCAACACTACTACTGTCTTTATCAACACGGATACTATCATTATGTCGACATCCGAGGTGATAAGTACAATCTCAAGGAATTTAAGGGACATAATGACATCCAGCGAAAAAGAAAAAAATGAACAAAAAGTTGTGTTTTTTTTCCTTTTTGAACTGATTTCGAGAGATACGTTAAGTTTCCCACAATACGGAATTTTAGATAACCTTGATGATAACCAGATTAATCTGTTCGAATTCTTTTAATCTTTTGGGAAGACATTGTACGAGGTGCTGTCGGGAAGTACCCGACTTAGGATCTCCTGGACATAATTGACTCCACCCATATAAGAAATCTGATGAAGTTTTAAGCAACGATACTCGTAGAGATCTCCGCTTAACTTATGCACTTGTCCTGGCGTTTCACTGCTTATTGGCCGCCCAAAAAAGCTCATAACTTTGAATCGACACTTCATCAGCTTTGAAGCGCGTGAGCGTCTCTAAAATGAATGTTCAGCCCAAAGAATGTTTGCCAAAATCCTGATAAAAGGAATTCAATTGTTTCAGTAGTTTTACTCAGAATTTGATGCAGGTAAGTGGCTCGAATTTTTCAGCCATCGTAAAGATCGCAGAGACGTTCCAACACATCATTACAAAGATTCACGTAATTAGTGAACACAAACACGTCTGAAGGCAGATAGACCTAGTAAAGTACTATGAGCCTTGAACACATGGCATACAGATGGTGATTTTCTAAGCGTAGCTTAGATGTCGCACAAGGCCAAAAGTACTGGTCACCCAGTGAGGGTCGAACTCACTATTCAGTCGTAATTGATTTAGCGAGAAAAGCTTTCTAATCATTACACCACGACGAAGTGCACAATAGTGCATACAGTATGAGTGCTTTTCCGATGCCGTATAATCTCGAGCCAAACTTTCACGCGTGAAGTTAGATCAGAGGTTTCGTTGCTGACGTCAAAGAGAAAAGCGATACAATAATAAAAGGAAATAAATATGGAATGGCTTTTCTCAGACGTGCTGTAAAATCTAGAATCCACGAATAGTTTAAACAAATGAGTAAACATATCTAGGGTTTTATTTTATTTTATTTATTTGTTTTTTCAAAACGAAAACGTGTGCTCGAGTTAAGTTCTGTGGCTGGCTAATAGATTCAACTAAGAAATATTCAAAAACAAAACTAGCGTAAACTGTTTGAACGATTCAGACGTACTGGTTATATCAGGTACAGAGAATGTATCCTTAAATTGTTTGATATTAGCAAAAGTATAACTATTTTTAATTTCAATCGATAGCCTCGTCCGGGTTCCTCTCTGCTCGAGGCAGAGAGTTCGACAGATGAACAATCTGGTCGACTGTTCCCCATTAAACGCGGTTGTTTCA